TGCGTCAGACAGCAGCGCGGGAACGGAGTGGCAGGAACATGGACGGGATCTGGGCGAAGGCTAGCGGGGAGCAATAAAACCAAAATACAAAAAAATTCCCATGTGTGCAGGCCGCGCCGAATTTGATTGTATTGGTTGTACTCGTGCAATTAATATAACCAAATTACAATAAAATTCAAAAATTACAATAAAATTCAAATGTGTGGAATCCACAACTAATAGTTTTTAGGGCTTCTGGAATAAATAAAGCCTCCCACATTTTTTATTGGTGGAAGATTTTGTGGAAGAAACGGAGAAAGCATGGGCATCGGCATGATATCTGGGCAGTGGTTTGGCTTCTAAGGGAATGAACGAGAGAGATTCATTATCTATTGTAGGTTATTATAGATTTTGTTTTTAATGACATCTTGAAAAGTCATACCAATGATTTATATACAAAATTCTTATAATATGAGTGTCTTCTTAGCTAAATTTAATGTTTCGGATGCACTCGCATAAATTTTGAGAGAAGCGGCATGCAAAATCTTACAAATCATTTTTGCATGAGAATGAAGAATGAGATTTAAATTTCTCTAGGATTCAAAGCTTTTATTGTGCATGTGAAGAAAAATAGAAATTCAAATTGGGAAAAATTTTGAAGTTATTGTAGTTATTTCTGATGAAAGAACAAAATTTAAGATAAATAGATATTTAAAGTTTCATGAGATTTGAAATTGAATCTACTGAATCCAGCTCAAAGTTTTGTTCAAGTTATGGTGTCAAATATTTTTTTCATGCAAAATTCAGAAAAAGGAATGAAAATTGTCATTTTGGCATTTTGGTGGTTTACTATGAGAGAAATAGATATGTAGAAACTCTATAGGAGTTTCAAACTGACAGATTTACTGTTTGATGAGAAGCTTAATTTGTGTTTGTGTGTGAGTACAGTAAAAAAGCAGAAAAAAAAAGAAAGAAATAAAAAAATGCATATTTTCTCTTCATTTCATTTGTTGCCTCACATTGTTACCGTTACCACACATGTAGGTATACATTTTTGAACACATTATGTAATCGTTTGGGTTGTTCGAACCCAATAAGAAAACACTCCTATGCTTTTAAACAGATGTCTGAAGGCTCACATGTGTCATTTAGGTGGGAGGGTTGGAAGATTTATGATCTCTTTGTTACAAAATATCACCTGTGCGTATCTTATAGATAGGTGGGTAGGGTAGAGCATTCCAGGTAACCCCCCAAGCACCGATAATGCCGGGAGACTGTTCAAGTTCTGGCTAACGGTAATGCCAATAATAAAATGCTACAGAATATAAATCTCTTATTGCTTTTAAAAATGTACTTGAAGACACATGCATGTTCTTCAGATGAGTGCGATCGAAGATTTATGACCTTGGTGTTGAAAAATATTGCGCATGCACGTATTTTAGACAGGTAGGTTAGAAGATTTATGAACTCCATGTTGCAAAACATTACTCATGTGCGTCTTATAGATAGGTGAGTACGGCTCAGCATTCTCGAGGTAGGCCCCACACAATGACACGCCGCTATCAAAACTTTGATTGACCGAGGAACTTAAAATAAGGCTTAAAATGAAACTAATTAGAAATTAAATAGCTCAATTAAATTCAAGATTATGCTAAAAAATGAATTCAAAAAATTTAAATTCAAACAGGCTAAAAAATAAACTCACATCAAAATTTGAAATATCACTCTTTATAGCAGAATCTTTTCACACTTAAAAAGACTTATGAATATTGAAAATTGAATTTGGAAATTGAATGAAACAAAGTGAAACTAACTTTCTATTTACAGAAGAAAAAGATATCATGTGGAGTTCGCATGAGTTTAATAAGTCATATAAAGATGAATTTCGTTGTCCATATACAAACAAAATTCTAAAATGGCATCTGGCTAAAACATCTAAATGGAAATATGGGTTTAAAACTATGAACTTGTATCCAATTTACGCCCTTCGCCACCTGATCTGCAAGCCTCCCGCACTAGCAGACAAAGGCAAAACTAAAAGCTTAAAGTGAAAATATTTGCGCAAACTTTAATGATAACACACTAGTGAGAATAATAATAAAGTTCCACTAAATGTTCGTCTAAAAAAGTTTGAAATTCTCGCATGTGCTCCGACGTTATCAAAATGATTAGATTTTAACGCTTGAGAATATTGTGTGAGCTAAAATGTGCTTCAGTTTAAATTTAATCCACTTTAAATTGCATGCAAAACTAATTAAAAATTAAATCAAACCAATAAATTAAATACACGCATGTGCTTCAATCAGTTTGTTAAATATTTATTTATGTAGTCTGAGAATATTGCGCGGGCAAGAGACCATCTTACTTATATGGTGTGCTCTTAAGTTCCACATTTTGGTCAGTCTAATCCTTCTCTATATAAGGACAGGAGTTGACAACACTAAGTCTCAATGAGTTGACATGACTAAAGTTCTTAATGATATTTTACGTTACAATTATTCTCTGATGATGAACATATTCATTAAACATCTTAACTGAATGGGTTTATTTATAAAATTATTATAAAATTATGAAATTCAAATATCTAAAAAAAAATCTATCACTAGAAGCTAAAAGTAAAAACCTCCCATCTTCCACAATCTTTTGTCAGTGTGGAAAAATTTAAAGCTAACTCAAGTTCACAAAAAATCAATGTCATATCAAACATATTACTAAATTCAAATTCAATACAATTTTATATCAATAAGAATGTAACATGAGTCATTTGCCTGCATAGTATGATAAAAAAACTATACAAAAATAATCGGTTATGATTAGAGCCCTCTGACCGGTGCTTTGGCCGGTAGACCCCATCAAGTGGTTTGACCATTAGGCTCCACTATAAAGAGACCACAAATATAGCTCGTATGTACCCAAATGTTAGTCTACCCATGCGAGTAATGATTGATTCACATGGTACATTTGATTGGGGAGAAAACCCTATGTAAGCTAAGGTCAACTTAGATTAGTCTCCTTAGATAAATATCCACCCCTATAAAGTTCCCTTGGACGAAGCAACGCATGGCTAGTGATAAAGATACTTCAAGTTAGGTCGACAATATCCACTGATTAAGTAAATACAAAAAAAAGCGGTTATGATTAAAGCCCTCTGACCGGTGCTTTGGCCGGTAGACCCCATCAAGTGGTTTGACCATTAGGCTCCACTATAAAGAGACCACAAATATAGCCCGTATGTACCCAAATGTTAGTCTACCCATGCGAGTAATGATTGATTCACATGGTACATTTGATTGGGGAGAAAACCCTATGTAAGCTAAGGTCAACTTAGATTAGTCTCCTTAGATAAAAATCCACCCCTATAAAGTTCCCTTGGACGAAGCAACGCATGGCTAGTGATAAAGATACTTCAAGTTAGGTCGACAATATCCACTGATTAAGTAGACCAGGAATTATGACAACCTAATATGACAGTTGTATGAGATCTTGATCAGGTTCATCATTGTTTCCCCCACCATCCGCTTTAAGGTCGTGGTAATAATTCTTTATAATTTTAAAATTTGAATTTGCTGCTACTATATGCTAAGTATCAATACTTAGTGCGTAATGACTAGTCTTAATTGAAAGTGTTCTTCTGTTATTAGGAGGGATAATTAATCATAGAGACTTGCGCCCATGGGAAACCTCAAACCCCATATCATAAAATCCTCCCAAAATGAGGTTGAAATCCATAAATGGTGTCTTATATACTGTCTCATTTGTCTTCTCAAAGTTTGACCTAGAGCTGAACATCTAAGCTCTCTATAAGAGCCTAGTATTTCGAATTTTTAGAGCCCACACTCTCATGTTATGTAATGCCAAATAGCTTCATTTTTTTTGGATCATTGCCTATCCGTATAACTATAATAACGTTATTTCTCATCCATTGAGATCTTACTCAGATTAGCCCAACACGGCTCACAATTTTGTCCTCATGTAGCAACTTCACAATAATGCCCATCCTAGACTTACTTTAGCATGAGAACACTTAATTTAGACATCCAATAAAACACTAGATAATTCACCAAAAGGTGCGTCTATGTTTAAAGTGTTTCAGGATCTTACAATCTCACCCACATGAAGAATTGCTGTCCTCATTTCTTAAACATCTTAGCATCATTCACTATATATATAACATTGTAGAAGTAAATTCAAAAGGTCATTCTGGCTCATACATTCCGAAAAAAGGTTAGACCATATTAGAGATGTCCTGAACAAATTGAGAAGGGTTCCAATATCATAAAACTTTCCTTCATAATATTTAGCACACATTTTTTGATATGTGTATTGTTCTAATACCGTTTATAATAAGAATTTGTATCTGTCAAAATATGATTTACATTAACTAACACACTACTTTTTCCCAACACACTATGATTTTATGCTCATAATGCAATTTCCTGCCAAGCTCATGAAGCTCCAACAAAAGCACACTTAATTTTGGAGTTCCTAATGAATCAACAAACTGCTATGCCAAAAGAACATCGATGTTTAAGAGATACTTCGGATTATAGTTATGGGACCTTAAAACAATTTAATGCAGAATTTTGCTTAGCACATTTACTTTCATTTTAAAATTCTATAGATATTTACATCAATATAGGCACGTACCTAGAACTAGTTTAGACTTTTGATGATAACATCAACCAAAAAAATAATCATAATAAAGCGAGGCAAACACATAAGAAATATTCTTTCAGGGGTTATAATTTAAAAAACCTTTGTATGTGAGTTCATCAAAGTAGCATGATTTAAAAAAAAAAAGGGCGAAAACACATAAAATAGTATAAGAAAAGTGAAACATATAAACACATTTTTTAACTAATAATTAAAAAGTAATAATGAAAGATGCACACTTTTCTCAACATCTCAGAAGCATGTCTGATTAACAGTTTCCTCCTAAATCCCTTCACCTGAACATTTTCTAAAGTTCAATCCAAGCATAAGAATTCTGGGTATCAAATAAGATTCAGATTAAATAATACCTGTGCCCGCCACCACCGCCTATCCATTTTACGGTGATAACGAAGCAAGCTTCCATTTATATCTGTTGTGGGTTGCAAATAACTCCATGGTTCACCCCACACCCTGAATGTCAATTATCATTCCAAGGTATTTTATCTAAATTCAAGGTTTACAATTTCACAAACAATACGAGGGGTGACAAACAAATACCTGGGAATCCGTCCATGCCATATCTCCTTTGATGTGTAGTTATCCTTCACTGTAATAGTATGATCGTCCCAAGCTTCCTTAATCTTCATGAGGTCGTTGGCACGATCCCGACATTCTTGGGAGGTTTCAGGGAAAAAATAGCAAGACCAATGAGCATGAGATGAACCTAACACATGAATGGTGTTAATCATTTAGAACTTTCTCAAAATCAAATTGAAATCATGATCAAAATTCAAGTTAAACAGTCCCAAAATAGATGAAGAGTATGGTGGAAGTATCCATTAATGCTAAGTACTCATCACAAAATATGTCACCTTGACAGGCAGCATGGTCTGCTCTATTATAGTAGCCAGTAACAAGAATCCTATTTTCATTGACGGCGATTGCAAGAAGCCCTGCCATCCCTGCTAGTTGGGCTCCTATGCCAAATCCTGGAATCCTCTCCCAGTCAGCAACTAAAAATCGCAGACTGGGGTTACCACAGTCTTGTGGGTGTTGATGAATCCACAAATACCGTTGGACTTCACGGGTGAGCGGAAAATTATCCTCATCTGATCCTAAAACCTAAAATAAAATAAATTAGAACATTATCGGGATAGCAGAGAAGTTATGTTATAAGAAAAATGATTGTAGAAACATTAACAAAAGATGAAAGCAACCAAAAATAGCAACCACAGTTAATCTTCGTTCAGAGCACTTGGAAAATAAACAAGTTGCACAATTTAATTGCCTATCCAAAAGTAGTTTTAATTGGATTGAAAGAAAGACTTTGAAATGAAATCAAATCCAAGTAGTTTGTACGTTAATTGTGAATCTGCAGATATTGATTGGAGTTGTTCAACACTTTTTTACATTCCTTTCATTCAAATTTGTAGCATCCAAGCACAGCCAATATATACAGTACAATTCAAATAAAATAAATCAAGCAGAAGTCCAAAATAACCCTCCAACTATAAAATACAGACTAATTTAGTCTCAGTGTTTTAAAGAGCTCCACTTTAGTCCCAGACTATTAAAAATTGATATAAATTAATTCCTATGATGAATTTCATGATTTAATTTAACACCAATCACTAACTTTAAAGGTATTTTAGGAATAATAATTTTAAAAGAAATTTTATTTTATTATTACTCTATTTCCATGTGCAACAAGAAGAACAAAAATGTTTGGCTGCCCTATGGAATAATACCCTTCCCGAATTATTGATTGACCAAAACGAAAGCAAAACTATTCCGGCCACATACTACTGAAATACTCGATGATTTATGATCATCATCTAAAATGTAGAGTAAAAGTGTCTTGACGGTTAGTACTGTCAACTAAGTCATACTGCCGCCATTGCTTCTCCAATCAAAACACCAAATAAAATAGACTTGAAGCCTACATTCATCACCATTCACTATCTACCTATCAATACCATCTCCTCCCAACACTCTTCATTACCCTTGCAAGAGATAAACACTACAGTTCCAACGTTGTAATCTTACCACATCTTGAAGAGAGAGGGACAAACCATTGTTGTTTTCTAAATTAATAATTTAACTCTTTTAAGTAAGCTAGACCTTGTGCTTTTTCTCTTGCCAAATTTTCAAAATAAAAAGACTTATTTTTCCTGAATGTTATAGTTGTTTAATTGTGTCGAGGATTTTTGTGAAACTCTAAGATGAGAAAACTCTCCATCTACTGTCATGAATGTTCTTGGCTTCTTGCACACAATATAACTATTTGGAGAGTGCAACATCTCTCATATCTCTTTATACTACACCAAAAAATAAATGTAAGATTAGTAATAGTTTTACGTAATCTCTTTGAAATTAGTAATCAATGTTATACCAAATAATCAACCTAAATAAGAAGTAGGCAGCAGGGTAACAACAGAAGTTCATGAAATAATTGACATACCCAAGGAGGATTGGCATTTTGGAATGCCCTCTTGCGCCCAAACTGGAGCTTCTGTTCCTCAGAAGGGAAAGCAAGTTTGGCCAACTCCAGGCCTAATTTCCCCTTCCAAAGTGACCATTGAGGCAAGCTTCCATTTTCTCCACGAATATCAAAGAATTTATTGATTTCTACCTTCATTTTGCAGTTTTCCGCATAAGGAGGTTTGGGCACACTTGTTATATTTAGCCCTTTTTTCAATAACTCTCCATAAGAATCTTTAGACTCATCAAGCTTGGCATTCCAAGCAGAGTATAGCAAAGCTCCTTTCTTCACATAACTCGATTGCTCGGTGCCTTCAAAATTCGGTGAACTTCCAAAAACATTACTTGAAAAATTGCCTTGATCTTTTCTATCAACTTCTGCAGAAATCAAAAGTTGAATCTTGTTTGGTTACTTAGATTACATTACTTAGATTGCATGATTGGATAAGTACATAGATCATCATGACAATATTTCATGATGACGAAGCAAGCTCTAAAACAAGGGTTGGAACTGCATTCTTCTCAACTAAAACATAATAAAGTACAATTGGTAGGGAGTCCATACAAAATATTTCTGGACTTGCACAAGTTCACAAACATGAGTATATTAATTTTAGGTACAAAACTATAGGGATGGAAATAATTAGAAGAACAAAACTCATCAAGTATTGTGTAGACAGAGTCAAGCAAGCCATTCTTTGCTAATTTTGAATTTCAACCAGAAACATCATAGTTTGATATAAGTTATTCAAAATTAAATATGTTTATAAACATACATATACATATATAATATCATTCTACTCCATATGTTGATTAGAAACACTTTTTTTGGAAAAACAATTACAATCATATTTGCAGTTAGATAATTTGGAGTAATAGACAAGAAAAAAAAAAACTCATCAATCAGCGAGCAGAAGACTTACCTAGATTCACGGAGGGTGAATTTGCAGAACCAGAACCAATATAATTCGTAAATTCAAATCCAAATTCCGCAGCCTTGTAGGGAGTAAAAGCAACAAGAAACAGATAAGTGATACAAACACCACAAAAGAATCCCAGAACCCAGATTTTGCAATGGAATGAGGCGCTCATCTGCATAGCTCTCTGAGAAATAAGCCTCTCCAAGCTCTTCTGAGGCGTAGATTCCATTTCAAACCCTTCTTCTTTCCTTTTTACCTCAAACCTCTTCAATAAATTCACAGAGAAATCCTCTCTACCAATTTCCCAAACCGCTCATCAATTCTAAAAAGTTCTCTTCTCCAACAATTTCCATCAAACTGCATGCATTCACTCGCTTTCTAAACTTGGAAATCCGTGAAGTCACGGAACTTCTCTCCACTCCCCCTCAACAGTTTCAATCATACTGCATGCATTCACTCATCTTCTAAACTTAGAAAATCTGCAGAGTCACGGAACTTGTCTCCACTCTTCCACTTAAATGAACCTAAATCACGTGCCACCACCTGTAAATCACATGATGATTTCCCTTTTCTCAGAAGCAGAACAAAAAACATGAAATCTTCTATGAAGCCAAAGAAGAATCGCAGCACAAAAAGAGTTACAGATTAAGAAATCATTAAAATTCGTTCTCATCGTTCCAAATAAAGCTCACAAAAACTCCAGAAGATAAGAGAACAACTGCATGCAAAAACAGCTCGAAAGACAAGGTAAGGAAGACGACGACATCTCTTATTACGCGGAGAACAAACATCAACAATTTGAGATGTTTCTTATTATTGGTTTTTGCAGAGAAGGAAGACAACAGAGCAGTGAAGAAAGCAGAGGATCACCTGCCATCGGTACCTTTCCTCAACTGTTTTCTGCAGCATCAACGCAGGAAAGTTCCATGGAACCCCACTGTACTACTGTAAGGGAGGGGAGAGAGAGAGAGAGAGAGAGAGAGAGAGGCGAAGTCGGTGTAGTGGGGGTAGGAACTAAGCAATTATTATGTGCTATAATTAGCTAAAATATTAAGGGCAAATTAGCATATAAAAGGCTTGTGTACATTTGTATTTTTTATTTAATTTTTAATAAATTAATAATATAAATAATATAAATAGATTAAGATACTCATATTTTTCTAGTAAAAAAAAATTATTTATTTTTAAAAATTAGATGAAAGATATTTTAAAATAGAGATAATTACATATAGATCATTTAAAATATTAATATTTATAAATTAATTATTCGGGATTGTTTTGAACCATGCAATTGATATATTTATGCATGTCACGATCAAATTATTGTGAATTTGATAAATAAAAAATATGCGTTGAGATTTTTTCATTAATTTTGATATTTTAGTGAGAATTTAAAAAATGAATGAGCCAGAGAACGGTTAATTTGTAAATAAAAAAATTTTGGAGGTCTATATGTTATTTTTCCTTTAAAATATTTATATCTTCTTATAAGAAAATTGATAGAGAGTATTTTTTTAATTAATTAAGCATATTAATCATTAATAATTTTACTTAAAAAATGCAATTATTTTTCGTTATTTTTTAGTAATTTTGTAAGTTTGTTTTCATGTATTTTTTTAATTTCCTAAATTCATGCGGTAAATATGTAAATACATAAGAAGTGGGCGGTAAATATGTAAATGTCTAAAATATGTTGGATATATAGGAATATTTTCCGGCCTTCGCTGTGACGGCTCATGTTGGTGGGCCCAATCGGCGGTTTATTTTGCCTGTCATTTAGCCTTTCGATCCCTCCTTTCATAATGCATGCTATCGCTTAGGGACAAAAAAAGCGCTGGCTGATAGGTTATTTACATATAAGTCTTATGTATTTGCATATATCACACCTGGAGTTTTATATTTACATGCATAGCACATTAGTGTATTAGTGTTATAAACTTATGCATGAAATATGTATTTCACATTTATAGTAATAATAGTGTGATACATGTAAATATGAGGGGTTGGACGTGAAATATGTAAATAGATAAGAATTGAGAGCTATGTGTTAAAATTGAGTGCCCATGAGATAGAGCTTGGGAGAGATTCGAGCGAAAGAGAGAGATTTGCTCCGTTAGGGCAAAGAGGAGGTGTTCCCGCACTATAGGAGAAGTTGTAATTAGCATATGAAATTTGTGCGGATTTTTCTGACGCAAAAAAAAAAAATGGAGTCTGGAGTCGAATTTGTGGCTTTTTTTGTGGCTTTTAAGCGAGAAAAAATAAATTTTAGTATTTGTGGTGGATTTTGCATCTGATTTGAGTAAGAAAAAAATTGTTAGAAAAAGTATTCTAGAACCGGTGCAAGAAGTGGTGGCATTGCGACATTTTTTGAGTCTAATTTGCATATAATAAATTGATGCAAAAATTTACTTATTAGAGTCGAACTAATTCCAACGCAGATTAGACGAAAATCCGACGCAAATAACATAATTTATTCAACCTGCGAGTCTATATTTTATTCGCCTTCCCACCCATCCAACGCGCGCCTCTTTCTTCTCCGCTTATGCCGGAAACTTCCCCTCTCCACTCTCCCTCTCCCTCTCCCTCTCCCTCTCAATTTCGCTCAAAACCATCTCCTTCCCAATGAAGCTTTGCGATATAGTCACCATTAGAGCTAACTCGACGTCCAACGAGCGGCTCAAGCTTACAGAGATGAACGAACTCCCTCTAATCAGAATGTTTCGAAGATGGTGAGTCTATTAGCACCACTATTATCATGTATTTGTGACACGCATGTAAATATTGATGTTTAGGTGTTAGTTATGTACATACATAATAATTTAGTGATATGTGAGTTATAATATGCATAGGTTGTATGGTATACATGTATAAATTGAAGTTTTGGCGTTAGGTGTGTATATACATAAAAGTTCAGTGGTATGCGTTTAAATACTGTAGTTTAAGTGTTATGTTCGTACATGCATAAGAATTTAGTTATATGTATAGGTAATGTGGTATGTATGTATAAATTAAAGTTTTGGTGTTATGTATTATATACATAAGAGTTCAATGGTATGTAGGTAAATATTGAAGTTTGGGTGTTTGGTTTATATATACATAAGAATTAAGTGATGTGTATAAATTAAATGCATAGATAATGTGGTATGTATATGTATAAATTGAAGTTTTTGTGTTAGGTATGTATATATATAAGAGTTTAGTGGTATGTACGTAAAAATTGAAGTTTTGATGTTATGTGTGTACATACATCAGGATTGAGTGATATGTCTGAAATTCATATATTAGTTGACTTCATGTTGATTGGTTGAAGTGGCAGAATGCATCGGGTATATTTTTAATGCTATGGTAATATAGAGATATTTTCATTAGTAGAATTAGAGTTAGTTGGTTGAAGAGGAGGAATCCATGCATCAATCGGGTCTATTATTCAAATGATGGTGATATAGATGGGGAGAAAATTAGTAGAATTCAAATTGGTTGGTCGAATTGGAGGAGTGCATCTAGTCTTGTTCACATTGATGTTGATATAGATGGGAATGTTGTTATTAGAATTCGCGCTGGTTGACTGAAGTGGAGGAATGTATCGGGTATATTGTTTAAAAAATAAACTACTTCAAAGAAGTGTCTTATGTATGGATGAAGCGAGCAACTTAAAAGAGGCTCCTAGGGTCATTTTCTTCAACTAAAATTAGCTCCAACAAACCACTATGTATAATCATCATTATATATTTTGATAAGTATTAACTAATTTTTATTTACGTAATAAGTTGCACTGATCTGTAAAGCTACATCTATGCTGCATATAGATATTTGTAATTTGAGAGCTTCGATGTATAACAGATTATATCCATGACGAAAAGGACTAACAAATGAGTTCTTGAATGGCGTTGATGAATTTGTGTAGGTGGCATCATAGCTGCACATCTATCATTCTGAGGGCAAGTTTTGGTGTCCTTATGCGAAGTATAAAACAAGCTTTTTTGCCACCCAAAGAAGTTAAGTTAGATATTTACCACAAAAACTTCAAACTTATTTATTTCTACTGGACTGTACATGATGAGCAAGAATCTGAAGTTCAGTTCGAGCAAGGTGGTTCCTCGATTAGTTATCCCTCATGAAGAGGAATTTAATCTTGACACATATGAAGAAATGGTTCATGATGCTCAAAGAGCTCAATTTGTTGAGAGGGTTCAACACAAACCTGAAACACCGAACAATGAATCACAACAATTCTATAGCTTATTGAACGTTGCACAATAACATTTATGGGATGGTTACACAATACATACAGAGTTATCAATGACGCTGAGAATGTTGACCATTAAATCTAATTTTAACATGCCTAGAGAAGCATTCAATCTCATTGCAATATTATTGAAAGAGATGAACTCTGCATGAAATTTAGTGTCAGATAACCTATACAAAACTAAAAAGTTGGTTTGAAAGTTAGGGTTACAATGTGAGAAGATCAATTATTGTGTTAATGAGTGCATGATATATTAGAAGGTTAACACAGTCGAGACGACTTACCGATTTTATGGACAAATAAAATCAAAAAAAGGTGGCAAAAGAGTAAAAATTAGAAGTGCAAGCATCTCTTTTATTTTCTACTCATACCACGACTTCAGAGATTGTTCATTTCCATGTGAACAACCCCTCAAATGACTTAGGAGAGTACTACATCCATTGATACTAACTCGATGAGTCATTCATCACATTGTGAGGCCTAAATATATTTTGATCTTACTAACCTAGACTTTGCAACTGAAGCACAAAATGTTAGACTTGGGTTACGTGCAGATGGCTTCACTCCGTAAAGTCACTATGCAACCCCGTAGTCATAGTGGTCAGTGATCATTGAACCGTACAATTTGTCCCCAATATGTGCATGACATTGTCGTTCTTATTTCTAACGTTGACCATAATAGGTCCACATAACCCAACGGGAAAAAAGGACGTCCACTTCAAATATTATGGGAGACGAGTGTGCTTACTTATGATATCGCTACGAAACAAAATTTTCCAATGGGAGCAGCTCTTATGTGGATAATTAGTGATTTGCTAATCTATAGGATGCTAGTTGGTTAAAGCACAACCGAAAAGTTGGCTTTTCCTTACTACATTGATATGTCTAAAGCATTTACTGTAAAATATGGTAGGAAAAACAGTTGGTTTGACTGCCACCAATGATTTCTTCATTAAGATCACTTATTTAGAAGGAACACATACATTATTTAAAAACAAGGTTGAGAGATCAATTCCATTTCCCGGGATTACTAGAGTCGACATATTGCAGATGGTCAGTTAAGTATCGAAGATCACCGAGAGACCAGAGTTAGCTGCAACCCGTCTAATTGATTTTGGTGTCATACACAACTGGACTAAGTGTAGTATATTATGAGATCTTACATGCTGGAAGACTAATCAGATTAGACATAATCTCGATGCTATGCACATTGAGAAGATTTTTTTCGATAACATTTTCAACATTGTGATGGATATTAAGGGTAAGACAAAAGTTAATGAGAAAATTAGAATGGACCTAAAAGAGTGTTGCAAAATGTGGACCTTAAAACTGCAATAGACAAATGGAGAAAAAATAATAAAGCCCAAAGCTGCATAATGTCTTACACTGGATCAACGAAAAACAATTTTTGACTGGGTGAATTATTTGAAGTTTTCTAGTAGTTGTGTTTCAAATTTGAGTAGTTATTTTGATTTGGGAACATATAAGATATTTGGCATGAAGAGTTGCAACTGTCATATATCTCTGCAGTGCATATTACTTATTGCATTTCTTGTGATGTTGAAGTCGGTACATGATCCATTGATCGAAGTCATTATATTCTTCAGAGAGTTGTGTGTGGGGACACTGAATGTTGACTCGTTAAGACACCTCGATGGGACTATTCCCCTATTATTATGTAAGCTTGAGTGGATACTTCCTTCTGATTTCTTCGACTTGATGGAGCATCTGCCTA